TGTTTTAATGGAGGGGGAAAAACTTATAAGTAATCAGTTTTATTAAATTTTGTTAAGTAACAACAAGTTAAAAATAAGTAAAATCTGAATTATTTATTGTAACATTGTCACAATTGTGGGCTGCAATTTTTAATCGTATTTTAATTTAAAAATTAATTAGTGCCGCCGACCCCCAAGCTTTCCGTATCTGGTCTTGATTATTATCTGTCTGTCTCTGTTTTTGAGATTAATGAAGAACAGACGGATGACAGTGAGGATTTATGAGTCTGCAATTTGAAAATTACCATCCAACAAATTCCATAAAGCGATTAGTGTTTGCTAACTCTATTTCTATACTATTTTGCACAAACAGTAGTTATTTATTACAATGCTGTATTATAATATTATCATGAAAACTCTTCAAAAGTTAAAGAGCATTAAATTTTTTTTATCAGCAAGATTAATTTGAATTGGTGTGACCATCTATATATATATAAAAATGGACATGTATGTCCCTATATTTCACTTTTTCGCAAAAACTACACATCGCACATGAATGGTGTTTGTATGTGGTAGTAGCCCCAAGTCTCTATTCGTGCATAGGGGTGGTTGCATCTCGATAGCTATAAGGGTGCAGGAGATATGGGCTTGAAAGTGGTTGAAAGTGGCTTTCTATTTCGAATGTTTTGTTCGAATTAAATTCGAACATAAAATTTGAATATTGGTTCGATTATAGAACGATCGTAAACGTTCCAGAAACATTGAAAATAGTTCGTTTGACTTGACGTGAACAGGAGACGTTCAGAAATAGAATCGGGACCAGGTCTCTAATTAGTCTGGAAACGGGGGAACTAATTCTTGTATTCTGTGAAAACGGGTAAGATTGGCTATAATGTAATTATCTTAATCTTCACTATCGTTACTTTTTAAAAACCCAGCGAAGCAGGTCCTTGCAGCTAGATTCTAGATTACTTAGAAAAACAGTCTTTTATATATATAAAAAACTATATTACATACAAATGTACGAACAAATAAAAGCCCAGCAAAGTGGGTCCTTGCAGCTAGTTGAATAATGTACCCAACAATGTCTGTTATTAGTTATTATTATAATATAAGGTTTACTTAAAATAAGTTCTGACTGTTGTTTTAGACTGTGAACATAAGACAGTGTCAATTCTAAGACATGTCTCTACTTCAAGCAAGTAAAATTGAGTAAAAATGTGTCTTAGAATCAAGCAAATATAGTATTTATATGTGTTTTAGGCATTTAAAGTTTTTAAATTGTAAGATAATGTTTCAACCGTGAAGCCAAATAGATAATTTTAAATCACTACTCTTTGATTTCGTTAGAATGAAGTTCATTTCTGATTATAAAATCTTGTAGAATATTTAAACTGAATGTAAGTTCATGCAGCTTTAATTTTATAAATAAACCTTAAAGTATTAACGATATTTGAGGAACTTAATATATCTTTATTCACGAACCGTACCTTTATATGATAACATATAGCAAACAAAAACAACCTGTATTATAAAATGAAAATCCTTAATAAATGTGTAATTGCTGACAAATTAAATTGACATCCAATAATAAAAGTTTAAATCATCAGATCAAGCTGTTAAAGCTTGTGTTTTGTGGTACTGTACATTGGCATTCCAGTTTAGAACTCGGCTGTTTGTGAGAAAGGCATTCAGTGTAGCCAAAAACATTTGAACTGACTTGTTATCTTGCTGGATTGGATTTAAGGTTACTGAAATGTAAATAGCATAAGTAAATATTAAGTGAATTAACCTGTTTATACAACGATCAGAACAGTAGAACAGTAACTGGTATCACTTTGATATTGACGTCACTTTAATTACTTCTGCAATATTCATTTTTAAGAGCACATGTACAAAATTTGTTATGAAGAATGCCTCTAAAATACGTTACTCTACATTTTTTGCTTATCTCAATAAGTTCTATCACTCAGGAAGGATGCTTTTTGCAACACCCTGTGTAAGAAAAGTTTATTATTTTATTTTCAAAAGTAAAAAATATCTTCATATTTAAGGTTTTACAACTAAAATCTAACCTGAATTTGAAAACCTGGAGTTTTTTTTTCTTTGCAATAAGAAGCAAGTTAATTATCTTTAAAAGCTAGTTTCTTTAATGACATATAAATAGATATTGATCAGTGGAATAAAATTATAGAACAGCTTGGCACTCCTTCTCAAGATTTTATGAGACGTTTACAACCGACTGTAAGAAATTACGTCGAAAATCGACCAAGATATGCAGGGTATCCATTTGAAAAACTTTTTCCAGATGTATTATTTCCTGCTGACAGTTCAGAACATAGTAGATTAAAAGGTAAAAATTTATATATTATTTTTGTCTGTTACCGTAAAAATTTCATTAGATTATATACGTTTCTAAATGCTTTTACTAACAGTCATACTTCAGATTTGATATACAGTAAAACCCGAATAAAACAGAAACCTGCGTAAGCAGAAAAAAATCCTTTGAAACGGAACAATATTTTATATTAAAAAGAAATCTGTTCAAAAGGGAAAGTTGCCTAACTGGAAAAAATATTCAGTGTTATGCGAATCTGATTTATACAGGTTTACTGTATACAGTTAAATTTCAAATAATAATCGTCTGAGTGACTGGCTACATTTTCCTTGTCCTCTAAATCTTCTGTAGATATTATTATGATTAAATTGTTATTAATTTGTCATTGGTTTTAATTATAACTCTGATTAATTGGTTAAAGTCAAACATTTTCTATATTTTTCACAATAACGGGATTGTATTGTAGTTTATAAACTGTTGCTTTGTTTTTCTAATTCAATAGTTTTGTCATTTTCTTCTTTACTATTTCTGAATTTTATTTTTCTCCTCTTCTTATTATTTAATTTTGAGATTACCAAAATATATTTTATGAATATGTTCCTAATAATTTGTAAAAGTTTGTGATATGTGATATCTTTTCATTATTAAATCTAAAATGTTTATAATTAATTTTTTAACAGCTAGTCAAGCAAGAGATTTGCTATCAAAAATGTTAGTTGTTGATCCAGAAAAAAGGATATCCGTAGAAGAAGCTCTTATGCACCCGTATATTTATGTATGGTATGACGAAAGCGAAGTCAATGCTGTAAGTAAATATTCAAAATTTGGTAGATTACGTTCTCTTAAAACTCAAGACATAGGAGTGAAGTAATCGGTAACAACAAAACAAACTGTTAAATTCGAGGCTACGTAAAATATCTTTAACTAGGAACATTTTTCACCTTGATTTAGGTCTTTGTTAGCTAGTAGAATAAGCAGATTAGAATTGTTTTTCATTTAAAAATTACAAATTGAAATTTGAAAAAATTCCGTGAATTAGGGAAGGAACATTAATCCACACTAATGCTTATTTTGTCAAACCATCTTTAGTTTATTAATTCTATAGATGAATTTTGTGGCACATTTTTTTTTTTATTGACAAGACATCTCTGCTGTAAATTTGTGTAAAATGGTGGTAACTTTGTTAAAAATTCATTTTTGTTTTTCCAGAAACATATTATATCATTTGTCATTTCATTTTGTATGGATCAGTGCTCCATAACACAACAACATATGCTTTTTATTTCCATTTCCATATATCTGTTTTAGTAGTTTCATTTTCCTTTCTTAGTTTGGTATATTTGTTTCAGTTCGAAACATCGATGTTCTTGGTATTATTTTTCAAAGGTCGGCACTCATATTGCCACTTTAGTGTTTGGGAAAACTTCTAAAATTCGGTGAGACACTATTTAATGACTATACAATGATATTCTATTGTCACACTCTTTGTGTTTCTTTAAAATTATTATAGGTAACTAGTTTCACTCTCTTTCAGTTCCAAATACAAATTTAATATGGTTACATTGTATAAATTTGTATTTTGTGGATTCAGCTTATTGTATGTAGAGATATTGTCGAGATGTTATCTTTTAAATAGAAAACAGCGAATTAAAAAAGCAGAGGCAGCTGAAGAGGGGTTATTTTATAATAATAATAAAAACAAAAACCCAAAATGCATTTGGCTGGAATTTTGGGATGTATTGATACTAAGAAACGGCTTAACAGTAACATAAACAATATATGTGATGAGTAATTAGTACTATAAAGTTCTCCAATAAAACAGGTAGAAGTTAAATATGATTCAGTCTTTTATCATGAAACTTAAAATGATTGTGAATATATAATTTTTTGTTCATAAATTTCATTTTAATATCATAGAAATATTTTATACAGTATGTCTAAAATGTGATTGGAGTGGTTCAAGGATAAATATAGAAATTGAGTTTAAATCTGTCTGTTGTTCTACATAGTTCTCTCAAAGCTGTTAAAAAAGTCCTTTTCTGTGAAGTTCTTCAGTTTCCTTCATACCTTTAAATCATTGTACTAATGTCTCTTTGTGTAAACTTTGGGAACTGAAAAAAATCTGCAGAGACTAGATCTTGGGAGTAGGGAGGATGGGAAAGTTCTAAGACCTTTCTATGAGTCAAAAGTTGGGTGACAATCTAAGCCAAATGTGCAGAATCATTGTCTTGCAACAGGAAAATGTTTTTCTCCTACTACAAGTATGGCCTGCATGCCAAATTTGTTTCAAAAGTCATTTCAGCACTTTGATGTAGTACAGTACTGTTACCTTACTGTCATGAGAGAAGGTAAAAATCGCTATGAATCAAGCAATGAGCATCAAAAAAGATGATTAATATGATTTTGACCCTTGATTTTGTGAGTTTTACCTTTGATGATCAGGTTTTCCTGAGCCAATTCACTCAGAACTTTATCTTATCAATATAAACCAATTGTGAAAAGACTATGTTTCATCACCTGTAACAATTTTCTGAAAGAAGTCATCAGAATCTGCCATGTCAGTAACATCAGCTTCCACACACTGCTCTTTTTGTTCAGGTGTTAACAAGATATAAGACTGTACCTAACAGAAATAAACAACCAGACAAATACAGCACTACCGAAGTCGTCTATAAAATACCTTGCACATGCGAACCCCCAAAAGTATACATCGGTGAAACAAAAAGAAAATTAGAAACAAGACTAAAAGAACACATCGCAGACCTGAAGTATAACAGAATCAACTCAGTTTTTTACGAACACNTTAAGACTGTTTCAATTTGAACTGAACTTTATTAAGCTTAGTTCACACTGAGCGCAATTCACTGGTGAAAGTGAAAAACAGTGAATAACTGGTGAAACACGACTCATTTGACGGGTTATTCACTCTGTTTTTCGCTTTCGCCAGCAAATCACGCTCAGTGTGAACTAAGCTATACTGTGCTATTTAAATTGTTACTATGCAATGAATTGTCACTTTACAATATATTTACAATACAATCAAATGACTGTATAATGGACTCGCCATAATAAAATAAGATTCCATGTGGATAAATATTCACTTTATAATGGTATATGATTGCCACTAACCCAGATCATAAGTTATAAGTGAATATTGTTCACTTATAAGACGATCAGTGATGCAAATAGAGTAATACCCCAATATTCCAACTTCTTATTTTGTTATCACTGTAGTAAATGATGTTCTTTAGTGCCCATCACAAAATCTATGTATTACTTTTGACTACATTTGTGAAAACTTTTTCATCAAAGGTGATGTTTTCTTGTCACAGATAATTCAGTACAGTTTTGGTGTAATGAGAACTTGTTTGATCAGGCCGGAAAGCATATTCTGCTTGATAATGTATCTTCTGGCCATCCATCTAATTCTTTCAAATATAAAGAATCAGGCAACATCCTATACATTAATTTAAATATCACTGGGCGTTGATAGCAAAACTTTCTTCTGATTAGGGCTCGACATTGTATTTCAAACAAAACTTTGCTCTCGGATTTCTTTTTTTTGGAAAACTTTATATCAGCAGGTGAAGAGGTGATGATATGGATATAAAATTTCATGTTACTATTGATCATTGGCCGTGAAAGAATGAAATAGGATTCATCATTTAAAATGAAGATCTTTTCGTAGGACTTTTGCAATAACCTTCTGCACTTTATCTTTGTCAGTGGTCATTGCATGTGCCATTCTGTCTAGAATTATCTGTTGCTTTTTACATTTAATGTAATTTTTTTCTTCCAGAGCCTCGTGAAACAAAACTAGTGAAATTTTCAGTTTCATTGAATTGAAATTTTATTGCTGTCATCAAATGTCCTCTTGGAAGAAGGCCGAGTAGGAAGGATCAATTCTTTCAACTTGGCTTTTCTTTAGAATTTTCGCTTTTCTACCAAACCCCTTTCTTCTTTGTGGTGATAATCCACTTTCAAAACATTAGAGAATACAATATATTGTTTTCAGAACTCCTTCGTTTGCAAAATGGTTTGTGGTAAACTTTTCTCCTAATGTTTTGTTTAACGTGTAAAAGTTTTACACTCTTCTCTTAGTAGTAAAGCATCTTTTGTTGCCATTTTAAAAGAAGTAGAAAATCGAATGCAGAAAAAGATTCAGAAATGTTATAAAGCACTCCATGCACTTTCAGATTCTAGCACGTGCAACATAATTAAAAATTATTGGCGTCTGTTAGAGCCCAAGATATTGTGTGTGGATTTTTTTCCAGACACCATTATTATTGTGTTTACATTGTAATATTTTATAATTTAGTGGATTCTTTGAAATGGATTATTATAAAGCAAAAATTTACTGTATAAATTTACATTTGTTATTTAAATTCAAAAAATTTTATGAAGAAATTATTGAATGAAATATTGTAATAAATGTAATCAGTCACTTCTAGCTTAAAGATTATAATTGGTCCTGACATCATTGGTTGATGGAAATGACTTTTAATCAAACATTATACTTATATATGTGTGTATGTGTACGGTACATCTCCCAGTCTGTGGTCATAAAAATATTTAGAATAACATTTTACACCGAGTATTGTAATAATAATTTATCTGTAATAATTTAAAACATTTGGAATTATTCTTTCAGTATTAATTTTTTGATGTGTACCATTTCTGAGTGATAGTCATGGGTAAAGCTATTAATAAAAATAATTCTCAATCAATTTAAAATTACCATATTGCTAGCTAAATTGACTATTCAGTTAAAGAACAGACACTTGCCATATTTACTATTTGTCACTGAATTGTACAATGGTCATTAAAATGATCATTCTCGTATGATCGTTAAACAAGAAGTGACTGACAGTTGGATACATATATAGAATATTTCAAATAAATTTTTTTAATGATATTTCAAGAATTTTATTTGTTCTGAATTTCAGATTATTGGACTTCTCAATGCATTCACACCTCAGAAATCACTAGAAGATTTCCAAGATGTGTAAGTGATTGTGAGTTTTTCTATATTATTATAAAGGATACTGCATTTCTCTCAACAGTTTTAAGTATATTAAAGTAAAATAAATTAATAAGGAATATTCTATGGATATTTCTTATCATTTTATTTTGTTTTAGGCCATCGTTTATAGTAAGTAACTTTTGTTTATTTTTTGAACAAATGAAAACTTGATAGCATAAAGAAGTGCCTGTTTGTGTTTTGGATTAGTTTAATTAACTTAATAAACAAAAATGTATATTTAAAAAATACTAATGTCAGTTTGTTTTTAAGTTCTTACTTGAAAGAGTGTACTTTTTTTCATAAAATCAGAGAATATTTTCTATTATATTTCACAATATTTTCAATTATATGGCATCACTAGCCAAAACACTTGGTGTTGCCTTGAGAATTACACTGAAGATGGTAATTGAATAAAATTCTTTGGATATATAATGGCATATATTGTATGATACATATAACGATAACATAGGAAATTTTCTTAGATGGAAATACTGTGTGTGAATGGTTTAAAGAATATATGTATATAATGCAAACCACTAGCCAAAATTAATGTTAAATTACCTGATTTTTTGGGGGGCTGTTAACTTAAGGGGTTGCCCGAGATATCTCGGGTTATGGGCTTAAGGGGTTAGTATCTGTTTAAAATTAATGTAATTTGCAACACTATGAGAAACTTTAAAAAATAAAATCTTTGCTGTCCCATATTGAATTACGATTTGATTACGGGCTTTAAGAATATTCCTTTATATGAGATGTAAAATGTGTTAAAAAAGTTTGAAAAAACACTATGTTCACCATTATATCTTATATGAAATGGTAGTAAATAAGAGAGAATTTTTCAATTTAATTTAAAATATATATTTTGAGTTGTAAATTAATTCAGAATGTTTTAATTTTGACTTTCATTATATATTTTTTATTAGATACTTGGTAATGGAATTGATGGATGCAAATCTGTGCCAAGTTATCCAGATGGATTTGGACCATGAAAGAATGTCCTATCTTCTATATCAGATGCTATGTGGTATAAAACATTTACATTCTGCTGGAATAATCCATAGAGTATGTAATATTAATCTATTATTCATTATAATTGATTTTAAATTTTCTTTTTAAATATTATCATCGCATAAATTTCATAAAATTCTTATTTTATTATTGTATAAAATTTATTCTAAAATTATTTTTGATAAGACTTCATCTGAAATTTGAAAATTATAATTATCGCGTATAGAAATTATATAATTCCGAAGGTAGATATTACGTTATTGTAATTGAATTATTCATTTTGTTAATTTCTTAAAATTGATAAACAGATATTGGTTCATTCTGACGATGATGTTACAGAAATTAAATTTTAAATGTTAACTCAAAGCATGTATGCAAATTTGATTTAGTACAATTTATATGTACAATGTAGTAAAGTAAGATTTTAAAAAAATAACAGAACAAAAGTAACAATAAAAATAAAAAGATTGTGATCCAACAGTACTTGATTCGGGGAACTTTATAACAGATCTTTCATACATAGGAGAGTGTTTTCACATCTTTGGTCATTTATGCACTTGAAAGGAATCCAAATGCATAAATGCTAAAGAAAACACACTCAAATATGAAGGAATGATATTGTTCTTTCGGATTTGTAAATCTCTAAGGTATCCATTTCTTTTAATTCTACATGATTATCAGTTGGCTATATTAACCAGGCTTTCTGTAGGTTAACATGGCTATCTGGTTCCAATACAAATGTCAACAATGTGACTGGGAGTTCCCTTTTTTAAGTTGTCATGTGCTTTTATTCAAGTCCTTAGGGGGTTGGAAGTGACTCCAATATATTTCAAATCCTTGTTGAACATTCTCAACAACAGTTCACAAAAATTACACAGACATAGCCTGAAGCAACGACACCAGAATTTGTTACCGAAGAAATCATATAATTTACAGACTCCTCAGAAATGACAAGGAGATAATAGGAGAGTCTATGACACCTGGGATATATAGCATTTTTGTCAAAGACAATAGTTTTGGTTATTTATTTTGGTTTAACTTATCCCAATTACTGTTACGCACGCTTGTAATAGCAGTCCAGAAGTTTATCGATTCTGTTAGAATAAAAGATTTTGTCTGGGCATGTAGCCAGTTGTGCATCACTGCTTTTACCTTTTCATTAATTTCAAATTTATGACCATATAGTACTTCTTTTAGAAGTAAAAAAGTGATGATTAGTTGTGAAGACCAGGGACCGTATTCTGGTCACTGTCTCTGGTCTCTTACAAGCTGGTCGCTGATTAGCTAATCCAAATGATTAGCCAATCGGTGACCGGCTTGCGAGAGACCAGAGACAGTGACCAGAATACGGCCCCAGGCTCTACAGTGAACAGAGAAGGTCAAATTTTCTTTTTTCAGTAGTTTGCACTGTTCTCAATTATGAGGACATATATTGTCATAAAGCAATAAAACTACTTTGGACAGCAGTCCTCTAAACTGTTGTCCAAATTGCATTTAGTGCAAATTGCAAGCTTCAGCTTCTCTTCAAGTAAAGTGCAATATGTGGCAATTTTAGTCTCTGTTTACAAAAATCACAATAATAGTATCTTTCATGCCCCAATTCAGTTAGATTGATGATGATATATATGTTTTTAATTATTATTTTATCTTATTTAATTTAGATTTTACAAATAATGTTCATTGATTTAATTTCAGGATTTAAAACCAAGTAATATTGTAGTTAAATCAGATTGTACATTAAAAATTCTTGACTTTGGACTTGCAAGGACAGCTGGAACAACGTTTATGATGACTCCTTACGTAGTAACAAGATACTATCGTGCACCTGAAGTTATACTTGGAATGGGCTATAAAGAGAACGGTTTGTATAAAATTAATTATATAAAATATTTGTTAATACCTGTGTAGTGATGAGTATTGTAGGATGATTTATATTGTACTTTCTTCAAAACCAAACTTGTATAAACCACAACAGCATGACTCAGACTTATAAAATGGAATGAAAAAGTTAAATTCTGAGATGTTGTCACTGTATTTTAAAGGTTTGAGTCATGCCATTATATTAGTCCAAAGACAAATTAAAGAAGGTTTAACTATAAAAATTGAAAAATAGATCCTGTGAGGTCTGTCTCCTGGAGGGTTAACAAATTGCTAACTTGTGCATTTTGAAAACTGACTTGATTTTTTTATGAGGAGAGGTTAAAAACAAATTAGAGTTGTTGCTTACCAGCGCTTTTCTGTTGCTCATGTCAAAAATATTCATATTATGTTGTAACTTATTTTTCCTGTGTTTAGGGTCTTCAAAAAAAATGGTACTATTTTAAATTACTGTAATTATGTTCGTTATTACCTGGGAAGTATACCAATCGATAGAGTAACTGTTTGGATTTCATTTATCATCTGCATTCAAATGTCTTTTTGTCTACTGCCTTTAGGAAGTGCCATAAACAAAAATGGAAACTTCGCAACTGAAAAGGCAATGTGTTCTGCAGTCCACAAAGTCAGAATGGGTCGTCATTGTGCCACAAGAATGTTTTTCTTACATTGTAAATCACTTTGAAATTGTCTGAAAATTACATTCATATGTTTACACAACGACAACTGACTACGACTTTGCAAACTACAGAATGCAAAACACTTTGTGTTGCAGAGTTGCTATTTTTTTTTTTTTACAGTGCTTCCTAGAGGCAGCAGATAAAGATGTTTATATGCATAACGAAGATGAAACAGGACATTTTATATCAATTGATGTATATTGCATACTTCTCAGGTAATAATTAACATAATTACAATAATTTAAAATGATAACATTCTTTTTAGAAATCCTATAGATTGTTCTTGTCTTGCTGCAATCGGTTGTTGCAAGTGAATTGCGAAGCAAATCAGCATTGTTATCTTTCGGCAGAAAAACGTGTCATTTTACCATTGCAGTGAGAGAATTTTTAAGATTAAACAAGACCTTGACATTTGATACACCTTACTTGTTGGACTTGTGACATGATTTTTATCTGTTCCCAAAAATTAATTTATCTACTTTAGAAAAAAGATTTGAAGACTGTGGACATCCAGAACACTGTAACATTTGAAGATGGTCTCTTCTGAAGACTTCTGTGACTATTTTGGACTCTGGTTTATCTAAATGAATAGCGTATAAGGTGTTGCTTGAAAGCACTCTGAAGAGAATAAATATTGAAATTGTTATATGTAAAAGAATATATAATATTAAAAAATAATTCTCATTTCTTTTTAGCAACATCTCATAGTAGGTTAACATGGCTATCTGGTTCCAATACAAATGTCAACAATGTGACTGGGAGTTCCCTTTTTTAAGTTGTCATGTGCTTTTATTCAATTCC